TGCAGGTTTTCACAATGCATTTTAAAAACATCATGCAGCATTTAAGTAAAAAAAAATATTTTCAGAATTATTTCAACGTCAAATATTTGAAATTTTTGCGCCACAATATTAATATTTTGCTTTTGCTAACCAGACACCGATGGTTTTGGTCTCACTCGGTTTGAGAGATGCAACTTTTTTTTAACTTTCCTCGTCACGAAATGGGAACCGCTGATCCAAAACCACAAAACTGCGAAAAGTATAGCGAGTCTGGTCGTCTCCACTTGACGGTCGTCCCTTTTTGTTCGCTCTTCGGTCAACCGGCAAGTAATAATGAATAAAAAACTTCCAGCAGAGCACTTTCTGCGCCAATGACCTCTCCAGATAAACGTTTTACCAAAAAATAATCTCCTTTTTCCCTCGTAAGAAACCGTTAAAAACTCTTTTCTCCACCGACAAAGCAACAAGAAGGACAAAAATAGACTTGACCATTGGGTGTTAACCTTTGACCCGGGGCCATTATGTGTGCCAATGCCAGCTGGAGGTCACGGTGTGTGCAACTGTGCAGTGAATCTGGCGCTTTGCTTTTACGAGTTTACGCAACGAAACGCAGACACGTTTTCATATTAATATTATAATGCCGCTCGGTGAGCTCGGTTTGTGTTCATTGTGCTCTTTGATTTGCTCACTGCGGATATCGAAATTCACTCACATACACAGCAGGCGATTTGCGCTGCGTTGAAATTGCGATAGGCCTCAAGCCATATATCGGATGCTTTGATGAGCTCTGAGAAAACTAATGGCCTTTTCATTGGAATGCTAAGGACGATCATCAAAATTTAATTCATATCTCATTTCATTTTCATTATAACAAATTGATTTTATCACTGTTTCTTTCATAGAAAAAAGAGCTGATTTTCAAAATGCAAAACAAAGAGATTTTCAAATAGAGTGTAAAGAAGTGTTTAAATTTTTGTTAGCGAAATAATAATATTTAATATAAGTGAAAATATTATTTGAAAAAATTTTAACAAAACTCACTGTTGAGGTTGGGTCTTTTTTTACTTAAAAATTTATAGCAAATCTTTGTTTGTGGTGAAATTTTGTTCAACAATTTAATATTGTGAGAGAAAACATAAAATTTAATGATTTCCTCCCAATAATTGTGCAAGATATTTCGTTTGCAGACAACATCGCAAAATAAAAAATTTAATCAACTGACCGAAATTTTTGTAAGACGGTCATAAAATAAAAGCAAAGTGAATTCAACACGTTTTTAGGATTTAAATTCTTGAAAACAATATGAATAAATTTAAGATTGCACGTGCAGATTATGTAGAATAAATACTGCAATTTTAGGGGGAAAAAATGAAACCAAAGACATATTCATTATTCTATCCTTAAAAAACTTACAATTAAATTTGTTTAAAATAATGTTTTTGTTTTAACTTGAAGAACAAGTGTATTTTTTCCTTCTTGAACTTATTTTATCTAAATTTAAATGAAATTTTTATTACATTGCTTGCCGTTGTACACTAAATTTCAACCAAAAACGATGTGAGTCTGCCAGCGGGAAAAACAGACTCAAAATTCAAATGAGACGAGTCTGAAATAATAGATGCGAGGCGCGAATTTCCAACCTCACACGGTGCATTTATTTATGTGAAATTTACATGACAACGGGGCCGGCGCACCGTCGGTTTCAAAGGCGCGCTTTGTGCAAAAGTCGACCCCGGCTTTGCCGTGATGCAAAAATGTCACCTGCTTTTCTTTTTGGCTGCAAAAGAGAGACACTCGTTAGCATTTGCCCTTTGACGCTTCAGATCTACAGCAAAGTGTATCATTTGCACAAAGAGCGGCAGCGAGATGCGACACCATCCTCCAAACTCAATATAGTGGTCACGCTGCAAACCACACGTGCACCAACAGGGGCTTCTCTAGCGCGCGGAAATTTTAATCAAAGCCCAATTAATTTCCGTGAGGCACTCACGACTCGTCGCTTTTGGCTTCCGAAGGCAATTTCGTCGGAAGAGCCCGTCAACATCGCAACTCGAGAGAGGAATTTCGCCTCTTCAAGTGCTACTTCTCCGAAGATAGCGCCTGTCGGATGTAATGAAATGTTCGACGAGCCGAAATGGGAACAATTATCTATGGCCAATTTCTCTCTAGGTTTGTAAGTTTTCCTGGAACATTGAAGGAAAGAATCCAATCGACTAGTGTTTCTGGATATTACTTTGATATTTCTAGTTAACTAGTTTTTCTCAGTTTTTCTAATCTAATAAACATTTTTGTTTACTGCCAAAATAAAAATATTATGTACTTCAAAAAAACGGGTTTATTCTTACAATTTCTAATAAACCAGTCCTAGAGAGATTCTGTAGCTATAAAAATATTGCGGACAAGCACTCTAATGTTAATTAATTTGACAGGATTTTAAACCTACACATAATTTTTTTCATCTTTTGGACAATTTTATGAATTTTAATATATTCCAGAATTTTGGCCTTGTCTATTCAATATTTTCATATTTATATTTTTCAAAAGACTTGAGTTTAAGTTTATTAATTCAGATGAACGTTCAAAGGCAAACGCTGCAAATTATGGTCTATAGTAACTTTTTGACATAAGGCATAAGTTTTTTTTATAAATATAGATAAAAATGACTATTGTGTTTGCATTGTCATCTTGGAAAGTGAGTGCCGTTATAAATTTTAGATCATAACTATAATATAAAATAGATATTGTATCTCATAGAAACTTTTTAGCAGTCGTAAATTATGATGCAGTACACAAATTATTGGCTTCATAATCATATAAATTCTTTTTCCATTATTAATTCTTTCACAAATAATCAAAGATAACCCAGTTCTTGATCTGACAAATCGTATAAGTTATTTGAACAAATCAATGTATATTGTGTTATGGATGTGCATAAATAAATATTTACTTGACATGACACGTAATGCAAATAAATAATATAGGAAGTTACTTTAAAATAATAATCAATTTTATAAATTTGCATTTAAATAATAAAAATATTGAAATATTTTTAAAATGCTATAAAATACATAATTGTAATGTACTTAATAAGTTAATTATAATTTCTATATATTGTAAATTTTTTATTTGTAATTTTAACTCTTAATATTTATTTTGCATCGCAGTGCGTTTGTCCCAAATGGAATGACACTCGTCGCTTAATAAGATTTATCGGCTCGCTCTGCCTCTACTCACACACATACGCACATCGGGTGGAGGATTTGGGAAGCAGATTAAGTCGAGTGAAGACTTAAGTTAAAATCCATTTCCCGTTCACTGGCTGCGTTCGTCAAAATCGCGTCGTCCTCGAATGAAAGGCTTCCCGCAAAAGCCGTCGCGTTTTGATCACTTTGGCTTGCTAATCCTCGAATTAAGCAACCCTTTTCTGCGACGCAGAGGATTTCATTTTCCTCTCGAAACCGACGCGGCGTTTTTCAACGCGCGCTCTTGACACAGTTGATGAAGTGAACCCTTCATTGAAAGTAAAGAGAGCCCATTCAAAACGGATTTTTTTACGTAGATAATTTTAAGTGGAAGCTAACGAGATCTCTTTTTGAATGGACCTGATCAGATCTTTTCCAAGGAGAGAAATTTCTCCAATTTGCATACAGTGGCAGGATTGGAGTGACAAAAGCTTATCTCTCATAGGCTATGTTTTTTAATATGAAAACCCAGATTTCCCACTGATAGGAAATTTAATTAATAGTTTTTATTAAAAGCAAAATTTTGAGCCGTTTTCCCCAAAAATAACACGTAAAATTCATATTAAAATTATTATCATTAAAATTCCAATAAACCTCTATTAGTGAAATCATTCATATTTTGAAATAAATTTGAAAAATTATCAAAAGCAACTGTCAAACTCAGTCAAACTTAATAATTTAAATCCTCCTCGTATTTTTTTGTAATGAATGGCCGCTTCGAAGTTGTAAAACGTATGCAACCTGCGAAACAAACATTGCTAAGTGAATGGCATTGCTCTTTTCCAATAGGCATTATTAAAATATTTAACATTCTTTGCAAATTAGTGAACATGTTTGGAGAATCAAAAAGTTAAAAATTTAGTACATCCTGAATATTTCGATTTGTTCAAAATATTTGAAATTTACTTATCATAGTTTTTTCGGTGTTTTGTCACAATCTCATTGGTTTATATTCTGTTGAAATGAAAGGCACAATAGCAAAATATTATTTAATAAAAGTTACTTGGTCGAAATTAATTTAAAGGATTTTAAGTTCTCCTAAATTATTAGGAAAATACATATATTAAAATAAAATCCGAGAATAAAAAACTTTAACCTTTCTCTTAATTATTGGGATAGTTTTTTTTTTAGCAAATAATGATCACTTTTTCTTGCATAAAACTAGTTCCTCCACTATTTTATTTGCTATATTTCCTGTATTTGATCGAATTAAAAAAAAGCAATAAAAATAATAATTATTATTATTATTGCAACTCTTTTATTGTCTTATAGCGTGATATTACAAATAGTGCACTCAGACGTAATTCACTTATTTACAATTGGGTCAAAAGAAGATAGGAGAAAGATTAAAAGAAATTTAAACATATTTACAAAAATTTACAAGTGTGTCATGAAATCAAGAAACTCCTGTTCCGTATAAAATTTATGCATGGACACAAAAGTTTTAAGCAAACTAACAAAACGATTGTAATTAAGGTTTATAATTTAAATTTGTTTCATTTAGACAACTTAAATTAATTCCATAACATTCCTCTTCAGTCTGCAAAATGAACTAAAAAATGCAGTACTAAAAAGACTCTTTGTATTTTGTAGTGGAAAAAGCAGATTAACTTTTTATGTGTTTGTATTCACAAAGGTCTCTGACAAAAGCTGCTGAAAGCGCGACAGCAGCCTTTAAAAACGCGCGCGTATATTTTTCACGCTTTTCGTTGCAGGGTCATTAATCTGTCCTTCCTGATTGCGAGTGCACTCATTCATTATGAATTCCGTTTGTTTCAGTTTATCGGGACATTGGACATTCCCCGTCCGACCAGCCGAGCGGAAATCGTGGCCGCCATGCGCCGCATTCGGGTGAGTCTCTATGTCGACGGCAACCAAACTCATACATATGTCTGCCTACCTTTGGCAAATGTACTATATCCGCAGATTTGCTGCCGTTGCGATAAATTCAGCCGCAGGCACGTTTCTCTTTGCTCTTCTCTGCGCCGCTTTCCTCCGCCTCTTTAATTCAATCCCGGTGCGCGCAGAATGGCAAGCGCGGAATTTAATATTAATATTGGAAAAGTGGCAGACTCAAATCCTATTTCGGCCGCAACCAGGAATGTTAATATAAACTCATATCTGAAGAAATGTAAGAAGTGCTTTTTTTAGAGATCAATTTATTTTTTATTTTTTTTAAATATTTAAATTAATTTTATATTTCTGTTTCTTTTCACTAAATAATTCCAATTTCAAATATATTTCATGTTTAACCTCAATAATTTAGAAAATGGTATGGAAGACTAATTAAGAATTCAATATATATTTTTTTTAATTCAATTCAATAATAAGAATTCCGTGCGTAATTTTGAAAAAAATTAAATGACAGAAGAAGAATGATTACTTGTAACTTTTTTAACAAAAAAAGTTTCAATTTTGGATTGAATGATTTAAATTTTCCGTCAATTTTATTAAAAAATGCAAGTACATGAAACCATCCAGGACAAACACTAAAATAGCCATTAAAATTATCTTTTGATAATAAATTTCACTGTCGAGTTTTCACTCTTTGAGTCTCCCCGTTCTTATGGACCGAGAACTCTTCAATCAGCTGCCTTTTGAGTGTCGCTCGAGTGAATGTGGACGATAATTCATCGTTAATGAAGCGGAAACTTTTCCGTTTTTTCCTTTGCACTCTCTCATCGGGCTGAATCGAGAGTGGAAAGAGAAAAGTTGCCACTCGGATTTTGCTCGCAGAATTTCAAAGTGAGGAGAGGAGTAATATATTCTAATTTGATATATGTCTCTGGTGTTGACAGTACGAATTCAAAGCGAAGTCGGTGAAGAAGAAGAAAGTCAACGTCGAGGTTTCCATCGAAGGTGTCAAAGTCAGTCTCAAGAGCAAAAAGAAAAAGGTAAGGAATGAAATCTGGAAGCTGTGGTTTATTCGGATATGCATGCAACAACTAAAATTTGCCTGTTAAAAATGGAAATTGAGTGAGAATTTTATTGCAAAATTCTGAAAGAGATTAAGTAAGAAAATTCAAAAAATAAATATCAAAAGTTATTTTATTTTTAAGCAGAATTATAAATTTCACCAGAAAATTGATCATTCTCTTAATTTTTATCATCAAAGAAAATAAATCTAGATAAATCTTTGAAGTGTTGATTAGGAACAAATATTTTATGTTTTGATGCTATTTAAAAAAAATGCAAGTAATTTTAACAACTTATTAATATTATAATGAATTCTACTAAAACAATTGAATTTTATTATTTTAAATTTTATTTTATATCTTTTTAACTTTTTTGTGCATTATTATTAAATCATTTATTAATAAAATTTTCAATGGTAGTTCTTTCTTGAACGTTGGCAAGTATACGACTTGTTAGCAACTTTAAATGTATAAATATAACCTTGCGTCAAGTATCAATTAACTGCATAAAACATAGATGAATATTTGTCACGTAGTTGTGGGTTTAATTTAAATAATACAATAATGGAAAGCTATATCATAGATTGCTACTCTTAAAATTTGACTATCCTAAATCCTTGGCGTTTCCTTAAATGCAACAACAAACAAAACCCCAAAACCCTTTGAATTATTCACTTTGATGTAAAATAATCAGAATCACTCTTCGTCTGCTCTGATCTTAATTAAAGCCTTAGTGTGCGCAGGGCACACACATCCGAATTTGCATTTTAAGTGGCTCGAACCCACAGCAGCCGCGCCCCGACCTTTCATCACGGGGCTGCTGTATTATTCACGCACGCGGCGCGCATCCTCAAAATTACAGCTCAAGGGTTTACTACTTTTTCGCAAATCTCCAGAGGCAGCCGGGAAAGTCGCGCCCGGAAGAAAATTTAAGGGCGGCGAAGAGTGAGCGATTCCTCCCTGGGAGATTCACCTTGGAAACAAAGAGCAAGGGTTTCATCGCAACTCACGCTTGCCCATTCCCACAAGGTCTAACCCACGCTTGTTATTCTCGTTGCAGAAAAATCAATGGATGGACGAAAGCAAACTGGTTCTCATGCACCACCCTATCTATAGGTGAGTCGGATTTGACTTTTATATTCAATTGAATAATAAAATACTATCAATTTCTGTATAAAATATTGTGGTGTTATGGAAAATTTCGATTTAAATTCAATATTTATTCCTTCCATGCTTTAAGTAGGTATGACGCTCTTACTTTGAAAATTAATTAATTCAATTTTTTATTTTATTTAAAAAAAAGTCAATGTTTTTTTAGTCATTACCTCATTTTCTGCAAACAATTTATTTTTGATAGAAAAAAATTATTAAATTTTTTTAATGCGGAAGATTTTACGTGATAATAATTCAACTTTGATCCAAATTTTCATTTAAACTTCGATATCAGCAAATTTACCATAAAATTTCCTGGTAATTTCTGAAATAAAAGAAAAATACAGTAGAAAATCTTGCATTTGTTTCAACAACCGAATCTCATCTAAAATATCAAATAAATAAATTATGAATTATGATATTAAAACATGTATTTAAGCTATACAAACCAGGAAATTGGAAGAAAAATGTGACTCTGAGTGAGTTTGTTGCAAAATTTGAACGATTTCACATCATTTCAAGCTTCTATAAACTATAAAAATTGACAAGAATCGCAAAAGGTAACAATAAAATGTCTAAAAATCCTGAAAAAGGTAAAATATTTTGGAGCTTAAACAAAATTAAAACTCATTTTTAATCAGTTTTATAAATAATGTTTGAACTTCTTCCTCTTTTGCAATATTTTTTTTTTTGTCAAAATTGGGCGTAGAGTCTACTCGCCGTGCGTCACTTTTTGCAGGATTCGTTTCTCTAAGCCCATTTCACTTGTCACATTTTTCCCATGGATTTTCCTTGCGAGATAAGAAACACACTTTCTCATGCACTTCCTTTTTTGCGCGCACGTTTGAAAAAAAAACGTGTCGCCCAACAAACAGACACACACACACCAAATAAAATAAATGCCTGAGCCGGCTTTTGGCAGAGAATCGGGCGAAAAACGCCTTTGTGCTTTCCTTGGTTTTATATCACTGTCTCGCATTCGTGGTGCGTGTTTGTTTAGTTGGTTCCTTTGAGGCGAATAAATCTCTCACGGCCGCGAGCCGTGTTGACTCTGCATTAATGAAGCCGGTGCTTTGTTAAATTAAAACAATATTTGCCGAATGGTAGCTTAGCGCGTTCGCACCAACAGCTAGACGGTGTGGCGCACAAAACCACCAAAATTAAACGCTTGTTTTAAAACACAAGTTGCATAATTCCTTCCGCTTTTCACACGCATTGACGTCAGAAATGATGATTTAGCACTTAAATCATTCAATATTTTTCAAATGGCAGATAAGATAAAACTTTTACGTGGAAATTCTTATTTGGAAATCTGCTGTTTTGAAATATTATTATTTTGTAATAAAGTTAGAATTCTCAAATTCAATTTTAAATGTTTGTTCTCTAAAAAGAAATTTAAGTATTTTACACCATTTTTAATTATTAATATATATTTAAAAATATATTTACATTAATTTCCGAGTTTAATTATATTAATATAAATTTAAACATTAACTTTGATTATTTGCAGCATAATTAAATTAAAACTTAATTTTCGGCCATTTGTCTCATAATGTAATTTTTAACTTTAAGGGGCCGAAAATTCAATATTTATTTCTAACCGTTGATATGAGACAGATCTACATTTTGTCTTTAAAGATATTATCTCGCCAACACATATCAACATTTATTCAGCTAGTACATGTTACAATAAGTACACAAATTAATTAAAAAAGTTAATTAGGATATTTAGTTTGCCTTTCAGAATTTGCTAGAAATTTATACAGCAATAATAAAAGGCTTAAAAAATATCCAGAGTAATTATGTTGAATCAAGTAAATGTAATACGTTTATTTAAGCTATTCCTTATCATTTGATTTAATTAACTAGACTTTAAATTTCAAAATTAAATATTAATTCTTCCATGAAACAATAATAATTTTCATATTTTTCCTCTTCCCATTTTCCAGACCATAATTAATTTGTATTTATTTGATTTTATTTCATTTTCAGAATATTCTACGTGTCGCACGACTCGCAGGACCTCAAAATCTTCTCGTACATCGCGCGAGATGGTGCTAGCAACGTATTCAAATGCAACGTGTTCAAGTCGACGAAAAAAGTAAGTGAATTTTTTTATTATTCCTCGATCGTTCAAGCTATAGTTTCTTCCATTCGGTTTGCGCGTTTTATGAAATTCATTCCGACACTGATTCCATTTTCACGATTTTTCATTTCATTCGCCACGAATGTGGAGCGAGTCGCGAGCTGTGATTCATTATTTTAATTATAACTGCAAGGCAACGACTCTGTTGGTTGTTCTCGGCAAAGCCAGACTGCGAGTGTGTCTGCAGCGCGAATTTACTGCTTTTGTTATCGGCCGATGCTGACTAAGCGCTCGAGGTGCGCAGTTTTGCTTGTTTATTTGTTTGTCTGCAGATTTTCGGCTCAATATTATTTCGAGCCGCAATAACTCAAATCCGCGCAGGCGATTAAAATTTGAACGGCGGCCAAAACCAACGAGTTTGTTGTCACGAAAACTCAGTCGGGGAAATTCGTGTTGAGACAAAACACTAAAGACAAATCGCAAGGCCTGGATTTAATTGCCGGCTTAAGTCGAAAAGTGTGTCTGACAATTCTGGTTCTTAAACTATCCACAGCTAAGGGGTTCTGAAAACATTAAAGAAACTTTTAATATGTTAATTACACTGATAAATCGTTCATAAAGATACAAAAAAAAAATAAAAGTTCCATTAAATTTTTGTCCAAAATCAATATTTTATAGCTAAAATTTTTAATATTTAACATTAATTAAAAATAAATAAGAAAAATTATGACTGTGTCGTCAAAATGGTATTCCAATTCTTCTGGAAATCAAAATCTACAACTAAAAAATTACTGTTTTGGCCAAATTTACCAGGACTTTGAGATTCTTATTCATCTGGCAGGAAAATTTGATCCATAGTTTGACCCTTGATTTGAAATTTATATCATTTTTTTTTAAATTAGATCAGATTTAAAAAAAACTATTGTGTGTCTTTAAATTTCGATTCAATTGAGATTCAAATTGTTTATTTTCAAAACCGGGATTCCCGGGTGCGTTTCGAGAAACCTTGACTGTCGGTGCAATTGCAGTGCATCACCTACGACTGCTATTCTGGGCGACTTTCCGCCGAAAGAAAAGAGAGAGCATTGTGGCAATCCGTGAAACCGAGCGTGTCTGTATTAAATTTAGTGTTTAGTCTCTACTCGCGCTTCACTTTTCTTGGCAGGCACCGGCGGCAGCGCCGGCCGATTGACGTCAGACGCCGCGACTATGGTGCATCCGTGCAGTGTTTGATCGGAACAAGCGGCCCGTTTATAAATAATGAGAGCGATTTTCCGTGTTGGTATTGTACACTCGTGTGTATAAATGGCCACGCACGTGTGTTGTTGATCCGGCCCGGCTTAGCTGCGGGACACGCTCGTCTCGCAGTTGTATTGGCTCAGGCCGATCAAACTCAAACATTCGCCGGAGAAGACCAATAAATCTCAGCCAGAGAAAAACGCGAAAATATTTGACAGAGATGATATATTTCCTTTCAAAAGCAAACAAAATGCATATTTCGACTTGAAATAAATTGAGAAAGGTTATAAATACTATATCTATATTCTTGTTAGAAAAAATTCAAAATCGAGTCGTGCTTTCGTAAATGGATGAAAATTTTAGTTATTTTTACAATTCACTGAATGAATTATCTAATAAATACTAAACGCACGATCAAAACATTTAATTTACACTTTTTATTAACTTAAGGTTGAGTTGGACGTTAATTTAAATTTACTTAATTTACACAAAATTACTATTACTATCTTAATCTTGTCTATTAAATGATGTCTTTAGAAATCAGTCCATCATGATTGATTTGCAGATGTGGAATTTGCTCATATTCTTAAAGGCACTAGATAAACATTTAATCATCGCATTTTGAACTGGAAAATTTAAATTTAACAATCAGGAACTAAAATTTGGCGACATAGCGCTGGGCTTTTAGACCTTTTAGACGATAAACTAAAGCAGACTCAGCTTTAATAATGTCTTTAGAAATCAGTCCATCATGATTGATTTGCAGATTTTGAAATCGCTCATATTCTTAAAGGCACTAGATAAACATTTAATCATCGCATTTTGAACTGGAAAATTTAAATTTAACAATTAGGAACCGAAATTTGGCGACATAGCGCTGGGCTTTTAGACCTTTTAGACGATAAACTAAAGCAGACTCAGCTTTAATAATGTCTTTAGAAATCAGTCCATCATGATTGATTTGCAGATCTTGAAATCGCTCATATGCTGAAAGGCACTAGATAAACATTTAATCATCGCATTTTGAACTGGAAAATTTAAATTTAACAATTAGGAACCATAATTTGGCGACATAGCGCTGGGCTTTTAGACCTTTTAGACGATACAATAAAGCAGCCTCTGCTTTAATAATGTCTTTAGAAATCAGTCCATCATGATTGATTTGCAGATTTTGAAATCGCTCATATTCTTAAAGGCACTAGATAAACATTTAATCATCGCATTTTGAACTGGAAAATTTAAATTTAACAATTAGGAACCGAAATTTGGCGACATAGCGCTGGGCTTTTAGACCTTTTAGACGATACAATAAAGCAGCCTCTGCTTTAATAATGTCTTTAGAAATCAGTCCATCATGATTGATTTGCAGATCTTGAAATCGCTCATAAGCTGAAAGGCACTAGATAAACTTTTAATCATCGCATTTTGAACTGGAAAATTTAAATTTAACAATTAGGAACCGAAATTTGGCGACATAGCGCTGGGCTTTTAGACCTTTTAGACGATACAATAAAGCAGCCTCTGCTTTAATAATGTCTTTAGAAATCAGTCCATCATGATTGATTTGCAGATCTTGAAATCGCTCATAAGCTGAAAGGCACTAGATAAACTTTTAATCATCGCATTTTGAACTGGAAAATTTAAATTTAACAATTAGGAACCATAATTTGGCGACATAGCGCTGGGCTTTTAGACCTTTTAGACGATACAATAAAGCAGCCTCTGCTTTAATAATGTCTTTAGAAATCAGTCCATCATGATTGATTTGCAGATCTTGAAATCGCTCATAAGCTGAAAGGCACTAGATTAACATTTAATCATAACAGTTTGAACTGGAAAATTTAAATTTAACAATTAGAAACCAAAATTTGGCGACATAGCGCAGGACTTTTAGACCTTTTAGTCGATGAACTAAAGCAGACTCTGCTTTAATAATGACTTTAGAAATCAGTCCATCATGATTGATTTGCAGATGTGGAATTTGCTCATATTCTTAAAGGCACTAGATAAACTTTTAATCATCGCATTTTGAACTGGAAAATTTAAATTTAACAATTAGGAACCGAAATTTGGCGACATAGCGCTGCGCTTTTAGACCTTTTAGACGATACAATAAAGCAGCCTCTGCTTTAATAATGTCTTTAGAAATCAGTCCATCATGATTGATTTGCAGATCTTGAAATCGCTCATAAGCTGAAAGGCACTAGATAAACTTTTAATCATCGCATTTTGAACTGGAAAATTTAAATTTAACAATTAGGAACCGAAATTTGGCGACATAGCGCTGGGCTTTTAGACCTTTTAGACGATACAATAAAGCAGCCTCTGCTTTAATAATGTCTTTAGAAATCAGTCCATCATGATTGATTTGCAGATCTTGAAATCGCTCATAAGCTGAAAGGCACTAGATAAACTTTTAATCATCGCATTTTGAACTGGAAAATTTAAATTTAACAATTAGGAACCATAATTTGGCGACATAGCGCTGGGCTTTTAGACCTTTTAGACGATACAATAAAGCAGCCTCTGCTTTAATAATGTCTTTAGAAATCAGTCCATCATGATTGATTTGCAGATCTTGAAATCGCTCATAAGCTGAAAGGCACTAGATTAACATTTAATCATAACAGTTTGAACTGGAAAATTTAAATTTAACAATTAGAAACCAAAATTTGGCGACATAGCGCAGGACTTTTAGACCTTTTAGTCGATGAACTAAAGCAGACTCTGCTTTAATAATGACTTTAGAAATCAGTCCATCATGATTGATTTGCAGATGTGGAATTTGCTCATATTCTTAAAGGCACTAGATAAACATTTAATCATCGCATTTTGAACTGGAAAATTTAAATTTAACAATTAGGAACCGAAATTTGGCGACATAGCGCTGGGCTTTTAGACCTTTTAGACGATACAATAAAGCAGCCTCTGCTTTAATAATGTCTTTAGAAATCAGTCCATCATGATTGATTTGCAGATTTTGAAATCGCTCATAAGCTGAAAGGCACTAGATTAACATTTAATCATAACAGTTTGAACTGGAAAATTTAAATTTAACAATTAGGAACCATAATTTGGCGACATAGCGCTGGGCTTTTAGACCTTTTAGACGATACAATAAAGCAGCCTCTACTTTAATGATGTCTTTAGAAATCAGTCCATCAAGATTGATTTGCAGATGTGGAATTTGCTCATATTCTTAAAGGCACTAGATAAACATTTAATCATCGCATTTTGAACTGGAAAATTTAAATTTAACAATTAGAAAACAAAATTTGGCGACATAGCGCAGGACTTTTAGACCTTTTAGACGATGAACTAAAGCAGACTCTGCTTTAATAATGACTTTAGAAATCAGTCCATCATGATTGATTTGCAGATGTGGAATTTGCTCATATTCTTAAAGGCACTAGATAAACATTTAATCATCGCATTTTGAACTGGAAAATTTAAATTTAACAATTAGGAACCGAAATTTGGCGACATAGCGCTGGGCTTTTAGACCTTTTAGACGATACAATAAAGCAGCCTCTGCTTTAATAATGTCTTTAGAAATCAGTCCATCATGATTGATTTGCAGATTTTGAAATCGCTCATAAGCTGAAAGGCACTAGATTAACATTTAATCATAACAGTTTGAACTGGAAAATTTAAATTTAACAATTAGGAACCATAATTTGGCGACATAGCGCTGGGCTTTTAGACCTTTTAGACGATACAATAAAGCAGCCTCTGCTTTAATAATGTCTTTAGAAATCAGTCCATCATGATTGATT